GTGCCGTGAGCGTAACTCATCCCCTCCTTTTTCTTCTTCTTTCTTTTCAGAAAGCGTTCCCTTGAGCAATGTCTACAGCCATGAAACAACTTAATTTTTTTCTATATGAAGCCCTTCTTTGGGCTAACTTGAACACTAATTTGAAAACAGCGATGAGTAATCAAGTCCCATAAATATATGAGAAAAAATTGCAAATAAGATGCTTTTGCAACCTCTTGCTTGTTTCCTTTTTGATTGTCTTTTCATAATAAGTTCCGTCAGCTATCACATTGGACACTTATGTTGGGTGGGAACCCCATTTAGACCGCGAGCATGTAGAACGAGTTGCACCTGCTGTGAAAAAAGGGGCTAAAGAACATCCACTGCAATGTTGTCACTGAGACAGTGTGACCCCCCTGTTTATGTAAGTATTTAAAATATAGGATAGATGAAATAAATTGACAAACATTCTTGAACTGTAAGGTCATATATCTTTACTGTATTCTCTCAATCCAGTTCTTCTCATTTACCTCCCAAGAAAGGAATTGTATTCATAAGATTTTATATTTTATTTGGAAAATGTGATAAATTGTGTATTTTTCTCTGTGTTTAGTATATCGAAATGTATTAAAGATTGTGTAAATGTCTCACTTGAAAAATATGAATGACTCACCTCAAGAAAAACATATTAAATCATGCTATGTCTAGTAGGAAGAATAGTTAATGTAGATGTGTGTAACTGCTTGATTTTCTGTGACAGTAAGTACTTAGGACAGCAACAACCTCTTTACACATCTGATTTTTCTGCTCTGAGGAGCAGAGTAATGGGAGTGAAAATTGGAACTAGAGCCATGGGTGAGTTTTTGGGGCTTTATTCAACATGCTCAACAGAGACTGAAAAGATCCACCGGCCTGTTTACTCAACGTACCCCTAGTCTTGGCTGTTACATAATGCAGGCATGACACATGTGAAAATTAACTCAGAACAGTGGCATTACATACAAACGATTATTTCTAACCCAAGTTATTACAAGCCTTTACCACAGGGTCACCTCACTTGAATGAAGCTTGAAAACTTTCTTTTATTACTTTGCTTTATGTTTCTTGTACTAAGTATTTGGAGACACAGTCCAATTAAAGTGGATATATACGTGGAGTCTGCTCTGCCAGCACTGCTCGCTTAGTGTCAGTTCAGCCATCAGTAAATGATGGGGTTGGAATGGGAGCAAGATCTGCTGTCTTAGTCTCCTTATGTGCTGAAAAGGAGCCAAGAGCACATCTATAACCTCCCCTGTTGCCGCTGTCGGCCTTCCCAAACAGCAGTGAACGCAAGCCTGTGTTTGGCACACCAAAGATAAACTCCACTACAGTCAGTGAGTAAATCCCCCAAGGAGGATTTCAGCTACCTAATGGGGATTAAGCAAACTAAGAAGGCAGGTTGTTGAGAATTTATGAATAATTGAACTTAAGGAAGCCAGTGAGAAAACATAACTCATCACAAAGAAATGCCCAAACAAAAGGAGTTACTCGTGTGAGGAAGCTGCATACTTAGGAGACAGGTTGCATCTGAAAACAGTTGCATGGATGCATTTATTCTGCATGACTGCCTATGATTTCCCATGAGACAGGGAAATAATTGTATATATGTCTGTACATTGAACTGAATAATTACTTTTAATGCCATTTATGTGTTTAAAGCTGGCTTGTATAAAATCATGAACGGTTGAATGGTCTTAAATTTACACAACAAAGACTGTGATCCAGATTTATTTTGCCTCCTTCATAGTGGCAGTAAGTGTTGACAATTTCCAACGGATTGTAACTAACTTATGTTCTACTGTTCTGTTCTCAGTTTACCAATGCTGCATCATGAAATTGTAACTAATGAAGCTGCTTTCATTCACACATCTTTCTTTGAACTGGATTCTACTGGGAGTTATGCCATAATAACATCATTGCAGTGGGAGAAAAATAGTTGATTCATTTGTCTCCCTTCATTCAAACTGTGGCAGGGCAAGGGGTCAAAGGTGAAGTTCAAATTCATAGTCCAGGTTATTACATCAAAAATGTTTGCTATGTTTACTTTAGTTGGATCAGTTGTTCAGCATATTTGGCTTGCAAAAATTGTAGTGGGTAACAAGCTTTCAACAACGTTACCAAATGAAAAGCACCTTCTAAGCACCTTCCTCCCCCATCAAACCTGTAACGGAGATATGTTAACTAACTTGAGCTTTAGTGATTTGTCACCGAAACAGATTGCTTTTTTTTTTTTTTATTGAGGTTCAACATGACAGTAAGTAATCTCAAAGTAATGTCACTATAGTCTCTGTCGATAATTGCAGAACGCAGTCGACCAAGAAATGCAACCCACCTTGTTATTCTGTGACATTTGAATTATTGGAACCTCTCAAAGACGCTCTATTTGGAAAGGCCAGTCGCTGTGTTGCATGTGTCTGTGGCTTTTGGTGTTCGAAAAGTGATGTGGATGTGTGTGCATGTGTTTTCCTCAACTCTTCCTCTTGTGACGGCCCGTTTCAGTACAAGGAGTGGATATATTTTTTACAAGGTGAGGCCATTTTGGCCATTCTGTATTTTGCCGAGGGGCCAGTTTACGGTCAGGGACTTGATTGAGTTGAAAGGAAAAAGAAAAAGAAATTGCCTATGAGGATATCTATACAAGGGCACAGAAGCATAAACAAGTGTGTCTGAGTTTGTGTGAGTGACTGACTGTGTGTAGCTGTACGTCTAAATAATAATGACTTGCAGTTTGTCATTTTCAAAAAAGGGCCTATAAAACCTAACAGTGTGACTTTATGGAAGGTAATATAGTGCTTGGAGAAGTATTAATTTCTTTTGTTGTGCACATGTGTTGCTATGACAAAATGTTTTTGTGAATGTGCTGCAGTCTGTCTGAGGGCTGTGAACCCATTGATACTTCAGTTGTATATGTATCATATGGACAGGATCCCTGTTGAATCAATTAGCCCCGCACATTGCTCTGCAGAGCATTGACTAATGTGGGGACACAGATATCTACATCGCCTGGGTCTGAATATGAACAAGCACATGCTAATTTAAGTCACTTTCCTTCCATTTACTGTCAGCTTCATCACTGAAGACTGCAAAAGTCTAAGTTAGGTGCCCAGAGTTAGTCCTGGAGAGCCGATGTCCTGCAGATTTCAGAAGTGTCCTTGCTTCATCACACCTGATTCACGTCAGCGTGCCATTATCAGGCTTGTGCAAAGCTTTTGAACTGATCCATCTAATCAGAATCAGGTGTGCTGAAGCAGTGACACTTCTGAAATCTGCAGGACAGCGACCCTGGAGGACCTGAGTCTAAGTAAATCATTTCCTATTTAGAGGGATAAACTTGAATGAAAACTGACAATCTTTGTTTCCTCACTAGAAGAACCAACAAAAATATTTTACCTAGCGGCCAGTAATTTTAGGTGTAAAAGATAGAGTATAGGCTGATAAAACTAAACGTTGTTCTTTATTGTAGCTCACTTACTTACCCTATGTGCTGCATCTGGTTGTTCTCAGAGAGGACACTGATTGCTCTGAGAGCTTTTCCACTGCAGCCCCTTTGTTTCTTTTAGCTTTCATGGGTAAAGATACATGATATGATTACGAGAAATTGTAGGCACCCAGACACCAAGAAAAGAATTCAAACAAAACATCTTCAGGTCTGAGATATACTGTGGCTCTGAGACATATTTCATGTCCTTTTTCTTGGAGATGTCCTAGTAGTTGAATAAATAATGTCAGGTTTGCTGGAGCTCATGATCTTCATTAATATGTCAGCTTTTTACTGTGTACCATTTCTATGAAAAGTGATGTGTTACACTGTATCCTGAAAATGCAGCGGGTCACCACTGTAGAAACTGGTTCTTACGAATCGCCAAATAAATTCAGTGCATGGAGCTGGATCCAAAGGGACCTATAACCATAGGATATATATGTTTTCAACGTAGGGGTCCAGTTAATGTAGCATGCATGTTTTTGGACTATGGAAGGACGCTAGAGTGTCTGGAGAAAATGAAACATTCCACATAAAAAGACCCTTAGCTGGGATTCGGACCAGGAACCCTCTTGCACCACCTTGCGGGTATAGCATACCCATTGTGTTGTGATCTTAAACACAAACCATGAAATCTTCCTGTAAAGTACAGTAAGTACACAAGGCAAATGTGTTTACATGGTTTTGGAAGTAGTTTCATTTGACCAACTATAATTATTATAATCCAGTGTACATTGAAGAGTTTATTTCACTATTCACCATTTAGTCTAATCATCCATTCAAAGTATTTCCTTTGCATTACAAGAGAGAAGTATCCCATGTGACCATTGAAAACAGACAGCAAACCACAAGTTGTATTAGTTTTTGTGATGGCAGATTCATCACACCGATAAAAACTAATTACTTTAAAAACAGGAAAAAATACATGTATAAAAAAGAGCCACCTTTGCTGCTTCCTCCATTTTTTTGTTATATTTGATTCTGAAATGTTAGTTTTGAGTCAGTTTTAAATTCCATCATATTGGTAAGTAGCAGTGTATTATGTTAAACTATAATAAAAGAATAGCATTTTCCTGTCCCAGCAATGTGAGATGAAGTTAAAGTCTCATCCAAAATTAGCAGCTGCTTCATAAACTGTGCTTGCAGCACTATGGATTCAGCCATGCCATGTTAGGCAAAATACTCACAATGTTTTTGCAGTTGTGACGTGTTTTTGTTGCCCCCAAGTGGACAATAAAAAGGACATTTGTTAAACCTTTAATTTAAAAATAGTCCAAAGTAAGCTTATCTTTTTTTTTCCAGGGGGCAGTGGATTCTGTGCTGTGGTCCCTGCTGCTGCTGCAGTGGCTTCTGTGGAGAACTCATCTGACTGCACTTGCTTGTGAGATGTGAAATAATGATCCCACGGAGTAGAGCAGGCTACACAGCTGAAGAGCTTATTTCTGCTGAGAAACTAAAGCCGACTGCTTTACTCCCCGTTTTATGCGCATCACTCTAAATCTTGGTTCCCACAACTGCGGTTTGGTTCACAACCCACCCTGCGCACAGACAGAGAGAGGGAGAGAGAGCGAGAGAAAAGGAGAGGAAGAGCGCTCCTCCTCCTCGTCTCTTCCCACCACTCATCCCGAAAAGCCAAGGTAATAGGTCCTCACAGCAGAGTCCTCTCGTCATTTCTCCCTTCGCATAATGGGAACTGAAATAAAACAGCAGTGTTACGGCCGTCTTTGGTACTTTTCCGCTGTCACCCCATCTTTGGCTCACGTCCTTTTGCCATTCGCTAAATAACTACTTTCCGGGGTTTTTTTTTTTTTTTTTTGCCTTGACACGATTTTAGAAAAAGCAAACCGTCGACTTGTAACTAAAGTGTTTTGGAGGACGCTCGTGTTTTCTCTGGATGGATAATTTTGCGTCGGTGAGTATCTCGGTGAGATACACACTGTTTCGTGTCATAATGCGCCTTCAGTTTTAGTTGCCAGTTAGTAAGCAGATCCATCCGGAATAATTAAGTGTCAGTGGTTAAGTGGCTGATTTTGTGTATTGGAGTAGTCTTGCTGTCCCAAATAGTTCTAACCTACCTTCTTTAATGTTGAATAATTGAAAGCTGCATCTGCAGTTCTTTTTCCTTTTTTTTTTTTTTTTTTTGGTACGTGGAACTCAACAGGTTTGAAATCGCTTATTCCTCTATCGAGGAAACCCTTACGAGTTTTTAAGGCAAACAAAATGAAAAAATAAGCTATTTGTGCTGGTTTGCTTTGCTTTTCATTTCATCTGTAAGATATTGAAGTTTACTATTTTATAGGCTACATGTATATAGTCAACTATATAAACTACAGTAAATATGTTTTATGAATAAGAAATGCTTTATATAGGGTAAACGTTTATTTCCTAAATAATGTTCTAATATATCCATTTTCTGTATCAGTTATAAAAGCCCACCTTTGCTGATTTTAGGTTATTTTGCCATGAGTGCTAAAAACTTTTCTCTTTGTGTGATTTTTTTTTCCACACCTTTTTCACAACACATTCAGGTTTCTTCAATTCTATGCCTTATTGTGTGTTTTCTTTCATCAACAGGTCTCCTTTTCTTCCCCTGTCATAATCAAATTACCCTTCGAGTGCCTCCAATCCTTACAAACCCCCTCCCCTTTTCCCCTCAGATGGTGACAGAGCTGAAGTCAAGCTGGTTGTGAAGGTGCTGGACCTGTTCCCCCCTACTCCCCGAGCCGGACACAGCATGGCGGCGGGCGTAGCGGCATGGCTTCCCTTTGCCCGGGCGGCGGCGATCGGCTGGATGCCCGTGGCCAATTTGCCCATGCCGGTGGCCCCCACTGAAAAGAACAAGAGGCAGGATGAGCTCATCATTCTTAATGTCAGTGGACGGCGCTTCCAGACCTGGAGGAACACGCTGGACCGCTATCCGGACACGCTGCTCGGTAGCTCCGAGAAGGAGTTCTTCTACAACGAGGAGACCAAAGAGTACTTCTTTGACCGGGACCCTGAAATGTTCCGCAGCGTACTCAACTTTTACCGCACGGGCAAGCTCCACTACCCACGCTACGAGTGCATCTCCTCCTATGACGAGGAGCTGTCTTTCTTTGGCATCATCCCAGAGATCATTGGAGACTGCTGTTACGAAGAGTACAAGGACAGGAAGCGGGAGAACGCGGAGCGCCTGATGGACGACCAGGAAGACAACAAAGATGCCAAGCTGCCCAACATGACCTTCAGGGAGACCATGTGGCGGGCCTTTGAGAACCCCCACACCTCCACCATGGCCCTGGTCTTCTACTACGTCACCGGGTTCTTCATAGCCATCTCTGTCATCACCAACGTAGTGGAGACGGTGCCGTGCGGCTCAGCGCCCAACCAAAAGGAGGTGCCGTGCGGCGAGCGCTACACCGTGGCCTTTTTCTGCATGGACACGGCCTGCGTTATGATCTTCACCGTGGAGTACCTGATGCGCTTGTTCGCCGCGCCGAACCGCTACCGCTTCATGAGATCCGTCATGAGCATCATCGACGTCGTGGCCATCTTGCCCTACTACATCGGACTTGTGATGACCGACAACGAGGACGTGAGCGGCGCGTTTGTGACACTCCGTGTTTTCCGGGTGTTCCGCATCTTCAAGTTCTCCCGTCACTCGCAGGGCCTGCGCATCCTGGGCTACACGCTCAAGAGCTGCGCCTCAGAGCTGGGCTTCCTGCTCTTCTCCCTCACAATGGCCATAATTATCTTTGCAACCGTCATGTTCTACGCAGAGAAAGGTTCAAGCTCCAGCAAATTCACAAGCATCCCAGCTTCCTTCTGGTACACCATCGTTACTATGACAACACTCGGGTAAGAGCAGAGCAGACACATCTTTTATCTTGTTGTGACTTGCTTTGTGTGTGTGTTTAAGTGCATGTGTGTGTGTGAATTGGTTGGTGTGTGCCTCTTTGCGCTGAAGAGAGTACATTTTTGTTGCAGATTTAACTTGAAATGTCTGAAATATTCTCGAACAAATGTTAATGATCAGGAACCACAAAGAGGAACTTCTTATCACCCTTTGTTGGGGTTTTTTGTGTTTTTTTTTTTTTTGCTGGATGTCCTCTTCTGGGAAAAGCAGCCATCAACGTGTTCCTCTAAGTAATCAAAGTGTCACTGTTTGCCCTTCATACATCACCAATAAGAGGGACACAAAGAAAGGAAGAGAAAAATGGAAAGTTGAAAGCATCTTAGTGAAGGAAAACATTAGAGAGGAAATGGAGGAATAGATTACCCCATTACTTCCCTCTCCAACTCACTTCATGGTTTGCGGTAACTTTCTGAATTAATTGAATCAGTGTCAGCATGTAAAAAGTCCTCCTTCTGAACTAAATCTTTGGGAATCATTAGTTTCTGGCCTTGAAGTACCTTGAAGTACAAAAGCTGTGATGTAGAAGATCAGAATGTCGCCCATTTTTCAAGGCAAGAAACTAATTCAGTGATTTGCGTTTTAAATCACAGGGAGACATAATTATTGTCATTAACATTCAATTTTTAAAAGACTGCAAGTTACGCTGCTCACTGAATGGCTGATTAACCTGCACCCTAGGGCTGCTGTTGTTGTATCCTTTTACAAACTGTTGGCTTTATTTGAGATTTACAGGGTGAACATTTTGAGCCATTGATTAGTTTAGTCTGGCATCGTGTCTTTTTTCATTTTATTATAATTATTTAACTTCATGGAGGAGGAACCATGGATGGATTTATTTACAATGCACACTGTCTCCCTCTCTTACTTTTACTGGGTGCAGTACTATTAGGCATAATGGTAATGTGTGGTGTGCTGTAGTGTGTGTTTGTGTGAGTCAGACGAAGAAGCTGATGAATTGCAACATCCTGCTAAATGCCAGTGTCAATGAGACCATAAACGGCTCTGAGCTCATTGCCGTGACACACTTGGCACGCCATCATCATTGCCTGCCATTCACAACCTGACCGAAGATCTGACGTTTGAAGGTATTGGAATGTGGATCAGTTGTGTAACGCACAGACATACAAATAAGTCATTGAACTGTGAACATTCTCTGCTCTGTTTGTTGGTAATTGTTTACATATGCATCGGCTTGTGTTGCCCCACATTCCCCGCCAGCAACCTGTCTCTTTACATTTCACATGCAAAAACAGGTGTGTGTGTGTGCGTGTGTTTGTTGTAGTATTGAGCAGGGCCTCATCAATAAAGTAGGGTCCAGAAGCGGGTGTGAGAGTGACTAATGAGTGTGGCCCATGCGTCTGCTGACATTCTGGTCCCTGCTCAGTGTGTCATGAGCAGTCACATGGAAACACACACATGCATATCTCTTTGATGTTGGGCATTTATTAACGCAAGTCAATTATCACTGTGTGTTTTGTTTGCATGCATATTTCATGATGTATGTGCTTTTGTAAGCGTTCTTTCGGCGTACGTGGAGAGCAATCTCAGATTTCCGGGAATAGTCTTTGACTAAAGCTTGTCCATTTAACTTCTTACTTGTCCCTGAATCTGAAGAAAAATATCACAACTATCTGCTTTTATACATTTAGACTCATCTGACTAAATAAGATGAAAGTCAGAGCCCACAGACAGTGTTTTCCTAGACATCTTGTCTTCCCGTCTAGGAGCCTCAGGCTTATACTTGTGCTGGTGAGTGTCTTCCTCGTTGTTCTTCTTCAGTGAGACGTTTATTTTGTCTACACCCTTTAATCTAGTTTACTGCTAACCTGTGTGATTTAGTCCGTTCGTTCCTTATGCAATCTGGATAATAACGTGTTTGCTGTTGATTTGGTTGTAGTTTATGTAAGTCAGCATCACTACATACTACTATGTACCCCACCTGTACTGAGTACATGCAGCCTTGCCCGCTATGGCTTTATGAGGGTTTCGTTTATTTGAATGTAATCCATCCCCAGTCAGAATCCATCATCCCCTTTAACAATTATCCATAAAAAAATGCATCAATGCCATTTAAAGTGCTGCTGTGCCTTTTCTGCTGAATAATTGATGATGTACCGTTTTTTATTAAGAAAACTTCAGAGAAGGCATGGTGTATGACACAGAAAATGACGATGAGTTTTATCAGAAGCCACTTCAAAAACAATGAAATGAGAAACCCATTGTGTGATTCATGATTGTGTAAACATGATGCAGGGCTTTAGTTTGAAATGTGCCAAAAAGACACATTAAACCACCCAAATGAGTTAGAGAGCCACCAGCTCCCGTCTATTTAATTGCAAGGCTTAAAAAACTTCTAATTCATATTCTGCAAATGAGGCAGGCAAACACACAAGCCAGGGCTTTAGCTAAATCAGAGACATTTAGACAATAGAACCTATGAGGGATTATGCTTTCTAGGTTGTTAAACAAATTGATTCTGGCCTCTTTTGGCTATAATACCTTAGCCTTTTTCATATTCAGTTGAACAAAATAATAGACGGGTGGAAAACACTGGAAAGCTTCTTTTAAGATAATGATTTCAGATAAAAGCAGCAACTTACATTTTTATATTCTATATATTTATAAATTGCTAAACTCAATATGCTGAATTTAAAATCACAAATGAACAAAAAACCTATATTAAAAACATTCTTTGGTTGTACCTTTTATCATTTTGCCTCAAGCAATGAATTACAGTAATGTGAATATTTTATGCTTGGAATGACCTCACTTTATTTCTTTTTAAATGACATTACAGTCATTAAAATTCTAATACAGTCATATAAGAGTGTTAAACTCCCCAAGTAACTGTGTGTTATCTAACGTTTTCCTTGAAGGAACCTTGTGGGAATCATTTTGTCTACATGCAATATGAATAAAATGTGAATTATCTAGTTAATAGACAGAAACCCTCTCCTGTTTCTTAACGTCTCGGTTTTCACTTCTTAAAATTCCCTTTTTGTTGCTTTGGATTTTCGTAAATTATGTTCAGGATTTGCCAGTCAGATCACTATCGGCCTTCTGGATCATAAGCGCTTTCTCAAATAAAAAGATGGAATTTCTCATTTTCTGGTTAAATGATTTGGATAAACTTCTGTGTGGTTGCCTTCTGTTCAGTTTTGTACGGCCACTCAGTAGTGGTTCTGAAATGCTACCAGAGTGACAGAAAATGCTTTGTAGCTGATTAGAGATCCTAAACCTAGATCTGTAATAATGGATTAATGGTGCACAAGGACTGAAATAAGCAGTCAAGTCTGAACTAGACCTATTTCAAGCTTACACAGATGAAGCAAATATTAGAATTGGCTGTGATAGCTGAAGCAAGGCTGTAGGGCTTGTACTCTGCTTTTAAACAGAAAATGGCGATTCCCATGAATGTCAATGGAACGGTTTAACATGGAGTTCATCAATGATCCCAGTCACTTAATTCTTGTTAAATTATTTGGAATGCCCTGAAAAGACAAGCTTTTGTTCAGGTTATTGCAGCAAGTCATGGAAATATTTTGGGGTTTCCAACACCAAAAACTTATTCTATTCATTCCATGCTGTCGTCTCTGTTCACTCTTTAGGAGGCTCCTGTTGATGATGTGTTAAGAGTTGACACATTTAGTTTGGTTTTGGTCATTAGCATTGCCATCTTGTTTTTTGGTTTTTAGTTTGATTTTTTTATATGTTAGTCTGAAACCTTTTTGATCTCTGTGCTTTGAGGGTCAATGAACTGCCGTCTGTCACCCAGACAACCACCTTCCTCATTCTCCCATTATTGTTTTGCTGTGGTTCAAAGGTTTTAAATAGCTGCACTTAGTCTGGATCCTCATTAGCATGGTTAAACTATTCACCTGTTCCTGTCCTTTTCCACAAATCCTTCCCACCTAATTTTATTCGGTTTATTTAATTTTTTTTTCTGTCTACATTGATAATTGTTTTTTGCACAGGGTGCTAACGAAGGTGTATTGATTTGGGTGAGGGAGAGGAAGTTGACAGCTAGCTTTAAACGCTGACCTTAACTTGGAGCTTGATTAATGACACAAGATCATTAGTGCAAACCATGTATACACTACATGGTTAACAGCATGACTGATTTATGCCTCTGGATCTTTGGTACTTTCAACCATCGTAAAAAAAGTGAAAAGGCCTTTGTTTATTGTTTTTTTGTTTGTTTGTCCGCACACTGAGGAAAGCAACCCCTTACCCCTTAATTTCTTTAGCAATCTTATTTAATATATAAATAATTTAAATATTTTTAAAGGGAAAGAATGACCATCAGAGGTTTTCATCAAATAGTTTTGATGAAATACTCAAAGCAGCGTTTGCATTACAGTCAGTGTTTGGCTTTCAGCATTACATCAAAATTGTTCCATCCTCCTCTCTAGAATCACTTTAGGCAAAGTAAACAATGACCATTTAGCAGAATGTTATGCTTTGTCTTAAATAAACTGTACTTATTATTATACTTTGTTATTATTCTACTTTGTTATTTTAATGGTTCTGTGGTGCTAGGATACCAGGTCAAATTGAAGCGATTTCCGATGCTTTTTTGTTTTCTGTAGAAAATGTTCTTTTGCACACCAGCAGCAAAATTCTGTACTTTTGTCCCATTTTTCAGTCTAAGAAAAAACAAACACCAACAGGTAGTTCACTTTCTAAAGCCAGAACACCAGAAAATGCTTTGTCACCATATTTCATTGACTAGTTGACAGTTATTGTGCCTTTCCTTTCTGGCATGGGCTGTTGACTTTTTTTTTTTCCCCCTCCATTATTTTGTCTCATCTTTTTCTTTTTTCTGTACTGGAACAGTGAACTGTCTTTACAGAAATGATGGAGCAAGCATTTAGCAGAGGGCCGTCCTAGTTCACTTTAGATAAAACGTGTGAAAATGTATAATTTTGTTATGAAGGAAACAATAA